AAAGGTTTCTCTTCTCTCTTGTTTTTTCCTATATATAAAATATCATCTACATAAATTAACACGAATTCAATGTGATCATCACCTTTTTTTACAAAGAAACAGTTATCAGCGGTGGTAGCGTTAAAATCCATGGTCTTAAGTACTTTTACCAAACAATCATACCATCTTTTGCCAGATTGTTTTAACCCATATAGACTTTTGTTCAATAGCCAGATTTCATTCTTATTAGTGTATTGACTGTGTGGTGCCCTTACATATATTTCCTTATCTAGTTTCGCGTGTAAGTACGCAGTCTGTATGTCATATTGGAATACATCAAGATTGAGTGCAGATGCCACTACCAGAGCTGTTTTAACACTCTCTGTTCTCACTGTGGGAGAGTATGTGTCAGTATAGTCCTCCGGATATTTTTGTGCATAACCTTGTGCAACTAATCTGGCTTTGTATAGAGTATTGCCTCCTTCTAGATTCTTAATTTTATAGATCCACCTAGTACCTATGATTGTTTTATCTTTAGGTGCGGTCGCAGGTGTGAATACATTTAATCCTTGCAAACTTTCCATCTCTTTTTTCATAGCTAGTTCCCATTTTTCCTTTTCTTCATAAGGGAGTTTTAATACTTCCTCATATGTATTAGGTGTTATTTGTTCACCATCCATATGCATTATATAATCTCTGTATTTACCTGGTATTTGATTTCTATTGTTCCTAATAGCTCTTTCAGGTTTGCTATGGTTGTCATGCAAATATCTTGCTTCCTTTTTTGTTAATGTGTCTGTCTTTATTTTGTGCTGACTATTTGTCCAAGTTTTGGTTTTGTTTGTATTTTTGTTGATATTTTGATTTTCTATTGTTCCTTCCTCACAAGATTTTGTATCTTTGTATTTATCTGGAAATATTTCATTAAGATGTAATGTTTAGACCAATTTGCTTGTTCATGGAACACAGCTGTTCTGGAGACTATAAATTTGTTATTATTATCAATGAATCTGTATCCTTTGGTGCCTGTTTCATATCCCATAAATCTTAATCTTCTGGATACGTTTTCTCCCTTCCTTCTCAACTGCTTAGGTATATGTACGTCTGCAGTGACTCCAAATATGTGCATGTGTGCTAATTTGGGTTTCCTATTATACATCACCTCATATGGTGTTTTATTCACAATACTGGACCAGGTTCTATTTTGAGTGTAATTTGAATAATGTAAGGCCTCTGACCAAAATTGTTTGCCTAAACCAGCATCCTCTAATGTGCATCTAATCATGGTTTGCAGTGTGGAATTCTTTCTCTCTGCAACCCCATTTTGGAACGCAGAAAAATGGACTAGACGTGAAATGTAGCATTCCTCTATCCTTTAACCATTGGGAGAATTCTTTAGACATGAATTCACATCCCCTATCTGTCATATAATTTGTTTTATTCTGATATTATGTTGTGTTTCTATGCGTTTGTAGAATTCCTTAAATTTCTGAAAGGTTTCATCCTTGTGTTTTAATGTGTAAACAAAACCATAGCGACTATAGTCATCTACTATTGTTAGGAAGTAACGCTTTCTATAAGTGATTGATGGAGTTAATGGACCAACTAAGTCCATATGTACTAAATCAAAAATTTTGTTAGTCGATCTGTTGGATTTTTTTGGTCTGGGACTAGTTTTTAGTTTAGTTGATTTACATACTGAGCATTCCAAATAATTTTCACAATTTTTTATTTTGACACCTTCTGCGTGTTCAGTCATTTTTTGTACTACAGGAAAACTTGCATGTCCTAACTTCCTATGTAAGATGTGAGCACACTCATCATGAATTGGTTTACCTATTCTTGGTCTCTTCTCTTTGTGTGTATTTGTGTGATCATGAGATATTTCACATTCATCATTGTCACTGTTACTAACATTTTCATCATCTGCCTCAATACAATCCTCCATATTTGAGTCAATGTTATGTAACCATCTTTCTTTTGTTACTAGATAGGGTAGGCCTCCTTTAATCATTACAGTACCAACATTTGTTTTGTCCTTCTCTAAGGATGCTTTCCCCTTTGAGAAAAACTATATTGATGTCAGAATTTCTACTTAGTTTTATGACACTTAGTATGTTATGAGGTATTTCAGGGATTAACAATACCCCCTCTATTTTTCCTAGACCAGGCAATGTTATGTTTCCTCTGCCTAATACTTGAACCTTTTCTTGATTAGCCACCTTTATTACAAACTTATCTTCTGTAAATGAAGATAGAATATTTTTGTTATTAGTGGTGTGATTGGTTGCCCCAGAATCGATAAGCCAATTATTGTTCTCATTTTGTTGTGTTTTAGTGCTGTCTTGTTTATTTAGTCCATTCAGTGAACCAGATTTTCTCTCTTTTGAATTTTCTCTACCCCCTCTATTCTCTCTGTAATTTGGTGGGCTTCTATATTTATATCTATCTGTGGAAGACTGTCTATAATTGTATCTGCTTCTATATTCTGGCCTATGTCTCTCCTTTGATATTTTGGGACAGTCTCTTCTATTGTGTTCCCTGGACCCACAATTGTGGCATTTAAAAGTCTCATTGTATTTTTCATGGAAAGCTACTTCCTAAAGGGTTTGTGTTCTGTGTGATTGCTAGAACGATTTTTTCTTGAATTGTCTTCAGCTATCAATTTGTTAGATAGACTCTCTATGGATAAATATCCTAGATTGATGGTGTCTAAGTGTGACATAAAACTATCCCATGATGAATCAAGTGAATTAATAATAACACTTTTCATTGTTTGATCTGAAATCACTTCCCCCCTCAGATGCAGCTCAGCTCTTATTTTGTTTAGAGATATCAAATGCTCACTTATGGAAACCCCTGGTTTTACTCTAGAAGAAAAGAAATCCTTAGACATTCTCGTAGTGGTAGCTACACTGTCGCTGTGGAATAGATTAAACATGCATTGAATTATTTCTGAGACAGTTAGGTTTGGTTTGATACTATGATACATTGCAGGAGATACGCTAGATATTATTAAGAAGAATGCTCTATGATGCAAACAATCTATTTTTAAAGTCCAAGGTCTTCTTGGAGGACTAGTGATAAAGAATAGTAAATTTTCTTTCATAAAGACAACCTGGAGCTGTTGATACCACTCTTGCAAATTAATGCCATCAACTCTAAGTTTTGGGAAGTCACTGGGTAAGTTTCCCACATTATTTTGTCCATTACTTACAACCTGAGGTAGTCCGTGGTCTCGCAAGTGCAGGAAATTGCAAAACGGCATAGGGATGCTCGCAACGAGTCTGCGCGGTTCTCTGGCCAGTTCAAGTCTTTCCGGACCGTCTACGTGGTTTCGCACATGCGCGTTGCTCATTTCTTCTTTGGCATCGTCGTGGAAGGTTCTTTCCATTTCAGCTCGTTCGCTCTGCTCCTCTTCAGACGAGTCGGTCTCTGGCTCGGTTTTAGGAGTTCTGATGGCGGCGGCTGTTCTTCTCTTTCTCCTGTGTGCGTTGATATTTGATCCGGTCTGCGGCGTGGGGCGGAATCGGCATGGCTCTCTGGGCTCGGGCGTCGTCGCTCTCAAAGTCAGGATGGGAGCGTGTAGGTCTTGAGGTATCGGCTTGTTCTTTTGCTTCTTCGTTGGCGCTTTGGAGATTTTTAATTTTGGCCCAAATGCAGCAAAAAGCGTCTTCATTGTGATTTTATTTGGGATTTGGTGTAAAATCGTCTTCGCTATCTGATTCGGGTTTCTGGAGATTTCGAATCTTCCTTTTCACTTTCGTTGTCAGATAACGTTTTTCGCGCCGGAAATTTTGAACTGAGCATTTTGATTGGCTCTGCTTCGCTCCCTTTGGAGGCTTGTTGAAACCAAGATGGCTGCCATTCAAAATTTCGCGCGGCATCACATCTTTTCTTTTCATAACGACTTTCTCTGTAGTCATATCACTCACAGTTTTTTGGTCTTTGGGTTTCTCTTTAGCGATGTTTTTCTCTCTCGCTGCTCCGCTGTTCTTCAGCATTTCTTGGAGATTCGCGATGAGACTTTCATCATTCTTCTGGCTTTTTAATATCTTTAATATTTCTGACCTGAGTTCGTTATTTTCTATTTCGATTTCCTCCTGGTCATTATTTTCATTTATTAGTTCTTCTTCTTCTGTGGTGTACTCTTCGGATTCTCTCGAAATCGCGTTTGTGGATTCGTTGATTATTTCTTGTTCAGTTTCTATTTCTTTGCTGTAGGCCTGGTGTTGGGCCTATCTTTCTTAGACATTTTTAATTATTTATTGAGTCAATTAACCATCCTCTGCTACCAGTTTGTTGCAATATTTTTAGGATCAGACTCAATAATGATAATAAAGATTAGAGGTTTAAATATATCTCTCTTTAATCTTAACAGGCATTCTATATTCACTGAATATTTACAGATAGAAGCAAGGGAAAATGGTGAGGGTGGCTCCTTATATATACAAAGGGCGGAGTCAAGGATGGGAGTGGTGAATTATGAATACATTAGGAAAACAAAGAATAAGTTAACCCCTGATATCCCATTATATACATTATTTACAGGTTAGGGAATAAGGCATTTACATCTGACAGTTTTTAAGCAGAGCAATCAATTTAATCATCATCTTACTTTCAAATTCCATTTTTCCACTGTGGGGGATATACTCTTCCTTCCATTATTGCACATATAAACAACCTGGCAAACTCTAGGTAGGGCACATCTAGTAAAAAGATTCTTAAATGCTACTTTTCATTTATCGTACCATAAATCACTGTGTGAACCGAATCTCAGTTCATGACCTTAAAACTCCTATCGCCTTGTGATATGATGGTATCTTCAAGCACTTCCTTTGCATCTTGTGTGCGATAGCCCTTTAAATTGCAAAAGTCAGAGACGCATATGACACAAGTTGTTGTTTTTTTCTTTCTAAAAACGTTTGCAGCTTGGTTCAGCTCAATTCCTCTTTCTCTGAAGAAGGAACTAACTGCATCAAGTGGAGGCCAATGGGAGTCCTTGAAAAAGATCTCATCCTTAGATTTCCAAAAAGACTTGCTGGTTCTGTTGGGAGATTCTTATCATCATCAGGTATGCTTCGGTTTTTGTAACTGTTAGTTGCAAAGTACTCCATTCTGGCGACCATCAGGATGGGATCAAGTGATCCTGCAGGGGCTCAGTGAGACCCAGTGGGACAATGGGACTCAGTTCAGTAGCAAATTTTTTCCCAGCATGGTGTGGCACCAATCTTCTTATGATTCACTCCAATAAATCTTAATATGTGTATTTTATGAGTTCTATTCTAGTGCTATTAATTTTCCTCCTCCTCCTCCTCCTCCTCCTCCTCCTCCTCCTCCTCCTCCTCCTCCTCCTCCTCCTCCTTCTGTATCTGTTTTGTAGTTGGTACCTTTCTAAAGCTCTTCTCTACATTTTAAAAATTCTTTTGTTATAGTTATTGCATTCCTGGTCTTTTGAATGGAAAAGGGGAGTGGGTAGTAATATCTCAGAAGGACCCTCCCTAGTTTTCTAGACAGTGAAAGTAAAGTAACGGAAAAGAACTTTCAGACTTGCAAGATTGTGTTACTGCAAACTCAGAATAAAGATAATATTAGTATTCATGTCTTGTGCTTTATGTTTGGACTACCCTGCTGATATTAATCTTGCTGATCAATGAGCTTTCACGGCTGAAGGTGGAACTTCACATTTTGTGGATAGTGGAAGCAACTATGCCACTAAGGGGATATATTTTTTGATTGATTTTATTATTTTTACTTTTCATTGTTCTGAATTGTGTAGTGAATAAGAGTCAGCTAGAGCTCTAGTTTAATAAATTATAGTTATAGTCAATTGGCCAGATGTTCAGATTGGATTTGGTGGTTTTAGATATCTACTGAGTCCTTCCCAAGGACCTGGGATAGACGGATGTGGTGGTTTGATGGTGTTAAAGGTATTGTCACAGTGTGTAGGTTTTTCCAAGTAAATCTGCCTTTTGCAATTGACTGATGATGATTTTGTCAATTCCGATGGTGTTTAAGTGATGCTCCAAATGTTTTGGGACTGCACTCAAGAGCACCTATTACTTCTGGTAATAACTTCATTATATTATTACTTTGTTTTCTGCCTTTGTATATTTATGACCAATAAAAACCATTCCTTCCATTAGTCCTGCAGTTGCTGGACCTGATTGTTTCACCAACAGTTTTGAGTCCTGTAACCAACTTGGCACCAGATGTCCAGAAACTCCAACATCTAGTGTGGTTCTTCTTGATCCAAGTGACAACTGGTCCTGGTAAAAGTTTCTGTAAGTTATGCCTCACTTTACTCTTTATCTGAGAGGCCCTCTTCATCTATTGCTGTTATTGTTATTGTTGTTGTTATCAGAGAAGATAAAGATGACAATATGATAATTATGGAGGAATGATTGAATCCGCTCTTATTATTATTATTATTGTTAGTTCAATTTATATGCCGCCTTTCTCCAGAGACTCAGGGCGGCTTGCAATGCATTTAAAAAACCATTATAAAAACATTTAAAAATTAAAACATTAAAACCCATTCTCTTCTCTCTTTTCTTCTAATAGGAACTTCCATTTGGAAAGCAGAGATTATTGCTGCATTACAAAAGTCTCTTGGTGGATTTCAGCCTGAAATACTAGAGTAGAGTATTCTGAATATTGTATTTGAGATTATTTGTCAATTATTTAGGTGAGCACAATAAGATGTCCGTTTATATTATCATAAACTCTATCATATTCATCATCTGCTGTATTGGAGTTCTGTTAAATGGAATCATTATCCGGCTTCTTGGATTCCAAATTAAGAGAAATCCTTTCACCATATTGATTCTTAATTTAGCAATTGCTGACATTGGGTTCCTCGCAATTTGTGGAATATCTTGCATTTTTTATTTTATATATTTTATAGGATTAAAAATTCCCTTGATGATCCTCGTCTATCTTTCTTACATCTTGTATATGACAGGCCTCTTTCTTCTGACAGCCATCAGCATTGACCGGTGTGTGTGTGTCCTGTTCCCAATTTGGCATCGCTGTTCCCGCCCAAAATATTTGTCCCCTGTTGTGTGTGCCCTCATCTGGATCTGCACTGTCCTCTTGAGTGGAATTTTGAACATTATGGATTTTGTATTTAATTATCATGGCTTCTCAAATCTCGATTTTGTTGTGACTTCAGTGCTTTGCCTTCCATTGATTACAATTTCTACTCTGATCCTATTCATCAAAATATGTCTTAAACCTAAACAGATCAAACGTGGACGACTGTTAGTGATTATCTTAATTACTCTTCTCTGTTTCCTTATTTTTACTCTTCCATTAAATATTTACGGGTTATATGCTCATTATGTTTACCTTGGTTATTCTTTCCAAGATATTCCACTGAATGTGTACATACCTTTGGGTGGTTCCCTAAACAGCACGGTTAACCCAATAATCTATTATCTAGTTGGGAGAAAGAAACAAGCTCAGAGAAGGGAAAGCATCAAGGTTGTTTTTGAAAGAGTCTTCAGGGAAGATGAAGCTCCTGAAAGCACAGCGATATCTACAAATGTAGTTTCAACCTCTCTGTAAAAATGTAGTTTTAACTTGTCTCTTATTTTGGATATCGCTTGACTACAAAAATGTGTTTCTTGCTACAAAAATAAAATATGAACTTATTTTGTTTCCCTCGGAAAAGTATGTTGTCAGAGTTCATCTTGAAGACTGGGGAAAGATGTGGAAAGCAAGGATGTTCCCTCCACTGCTATAAACTAACTATCCAGAACCGTGCCCCCAAAGTATGAAAATGATGGTTACCATAACTAAAACTGTTTTGCCATTGAGGTCCATTATACAGAGCTATATCTCAGGGATAATGCAGAGAGTTGGAACACACATTTGCTACTAAATATTTATGTATTGTGAGGGGAGTAACTACTACTGGATTAACAGGATACCACAACTGAGACTATACTTTAAAGCAGAGGTGAAATCCAAACTTTTTCCCCTACCAATTCTGTGGGCGTGGCTTGATGGGCGTGGCAGGGGAAGGATATTGCAAAATCCCCATTCCCTCCCCACTCTGGGGCCAGCCAGAGATGGTATTTGCCGGTTCTCCAAACTACTCAAAATTTCTGCTACCGGTTCTTCAGAACCTGTTAGAACCTGCTGGATTTCACCTCTGCTTTAAAGCTATTATCTTATGTCTAGGATTCAATCTCCCTGAACATATTGATTCTGGCTCCTGAGTAGAATTTTAAGAGATGTAGATCAAGAATTCTGAAGACATGTTATGGAGAGAATAGTCCAGGCAGAGTTTTTTCATCTGACTTGGGAGGGTCTGAGATGCTGGTGAAAGGCCATTTGTCTTCAGGATATTAAACTGTAGCCAAGGGACACCTCACCAAACAAGATCATGTGGGGTAAAATTTTCTTTCTGCAGATTGGAAGAAATCCATATAATCAATTTGGATAGTAACAAATGGGAGAACTGGAGAAAAAAAATTAAACCTACAAGAGGACAGGCAGTTTAAACCATCAATCCATGGAACAGGAGGATACATTTTTAGCCTCTTTCTGATGGCCTTTCCTTGCCATTCTTACCTGCCACTCAAAAACTTATTTTGCATGAATTTAAGTTCAAACAAACAAACAAATAAACAAACAGGATCTTTAGTCAAATTTATATTTAAACCCCTTTTCCTTGCTAACTGCCCAGGTTCATATCAAGCCTCCCCTTTCTACATTGACACTTGGTGATTATCTTAAAAAGCCAAAGAGAACATATTGATGTCATGTTCTGCTGATTAGAAAAAGTACTGAGTTTTGCATGCTTCAAACATAAAGGTAAAGGATAAAGATTTCCCCTGTCCCATTGTGTCCAACTTTATGGGGCAGTGCTCATCTCAGTTTCTTAGATGAAGAAGCCAGAATTATCTGAAGACACTTTCATGGTCATGTAGCCAGTATAACTATACCTTGAGGTCCATGGAATGCTGCTACCTTCCATATGAAGTGATACCTATTTATCTAATCGCATTTGAATGTTTTCGAACTGCTAGGTGGGCAGGAGTTAGAGGTAAGAATGGTAGGGTAAGAATGATAGCTCACCCCTTCACGTGGTGCTCAGGTATCAAAACTGGGCTATCCGCTTTCCAGGTGACCAGCTCAGTGTCTTTAATTTGTTTCAAAGAATTAAGTACAGAAAAAATGCATAGGAAATGCTTTCAGCTTGTCTTCAGGCTCAGGTCATGGGCCACCATGTGAAAGCAATGACTACACAGATGGAGAACAAAGCCAGCAGAAATATCTGTCAGGCTTCCAAGTAACACTCCCAAGGAAATCAAACTCCGAGGCTTGAGTTTCCTCAAAGTTAATTTTTATTAGAGATGTCATTTTCTGGATTTTCCTCACTGAAGAGAAAATTCAAGCCCTTACCCCTCATCCACATATCCATCACATGAACCAATCAGGCACCCTCCAGAACAGAAGATACTTCCTCATTCTTCTCAGCACAGCTGCAGGGCACCTTGGCCTTGACTTTCTAGAAAGAATTCTATTTTGACTACATATCTTCTTCACTCTACACAATCCCCCCTCACATTGTCCCACAGTAGAATTTGTGGCAGGCCTGAAGCCTGAAGGCACAAAAAGTAGAAAGATGGCTTCCAGGATTAACAATATCTGGATAGAATTCTGCTCAGTGTCTTATGGTGACAGCAATCTTATCAAATAGACTACACAAATTGAGAAGGAAGGGAGGGAGGGAGGGAGGGAAGGATAAGCAGATCTCGTTAAGTTCTCTTGCAGTGAGATATTATCTGGCATAATCTTTTTATCTTGCATAATCAATATGAGCATCAAGTGACAAGACAATCTGGTTCTTGTTTTTGCAAGATAATCACCAACGGTAGAATAAGGAGGCTGTCCAAGGACCTTGGCTGTCAAGTTCAGTTCTGAAGATGAATTGAAGAAGCTACTTGGCTGAGAAGCAAAATGCTTTCGAAGAAAATACAAAGAAAATCCAGTTGCTCTTTGGAAAAGCACCTTTAGGGCATGGCCAAGAAAGCATCTACCAGGGAGAGAGGTTAAGCTTCACTATCCCCGTCCTCATATTTTTAACAACCAAAGAGAGGAAATCAACCTTAAGGAGCAGATAGTATCAAAACAAAAGAACAGGCTGTACAGTTGAATCATTGTGATTAGCTGGCTCTCATCCTCAGTGGTCAAAGTCCCATTTATCAGCTGAGAAATCCAACTGTCATGGAAGATTTGTTCTTTCATCTTCTCACATCAACTAGTCTCCTTAATCGGAGCATCTCCAAAGAAATATAATCTGGAGAACAATTTCCCCTGTTCTCCCAAAATCTTTCTTTATAAGGAGATGCTACATTTTCTGAACAGTTCTTCAAAATTTAACTCTGTCTGACTTGGCTTTTGGTTCCCTTGCCCTAGCAGGCTCAAGCCAACTCTCTCTTTTCTACACTGACTGTTGGCGATTATCTTAGATATCTTGGTGTCACATGATGCTACATTCTGATTAGACAAGCCACAGAGTATGTGTGTGTCTTTTAGACTTTCTTTTTCATGCCAGACGCAAACACTCTTCATGTTTTCCACAGGAGATTGATCTGTGTGGCACTGAATCCTCACTCTTTTATAAAAACTCCTTTGAAGAAATCTACTCAGCCTTTACTACCAGATGCATCAAATTCTACAGGCAATTCTTTGAACTTTGAAACTTAAGATAGGATGGATGGACTTTCCAATTGTTATCTAAATAGGACTTAAATAACATTTGGTCCTGCCATTCCCAGTTACTTCAGCCCCCAACTGTGACATAATAATCTTCCTCTCATCAACTTTGAAGACTTCGGACTATCAATTTCAGGTATGTTATAATTTTGGAAGATTTAATTAGACCCAGGGATATGCAAATAGAGCAATAGTCATTCCTTCATTAGCTGTATATTTCTATACCTGATATTTATATGTTGACTGTCATAACAGTGTCAGTTGAGGTTTCCTGGTTTTTACTAATTTTCCAACCAACTTTTAGCCATCATGACAGAAAAATAGAAGTATGTCAGAAGCAAACTAACTGTCTTGAACCCAAGGTCAAGGGAATAAAATGTTTCTTTAGCTTACCCATAATTGTTTTCCATCATGGAAAGTTCCAGTTAATCACAGGAAGTTTGCATACAGACATACAGGAAATCTTCTATACAGTACTTTTTTTTTTTAATTTGATTTATATGCCGCCCTTCTCCGGAGACTCAGGGCGGCTTAGAATGTGTTAAGCAATAGCCTTCATACTTTTGTATATTTATACAAAGTCAGCTTATTGCCCCCACAAACTGGGTCCTCATTTAACCTACCTTAGAAAGGATGGAAGGCTGAGTCAACCTTGAGCCTGGGGAGATTCGAACCTGCAGTAATTGCAGGCAGCTGGTCTTAATAACAGGGTGCTTTAGACCACTGTGCTACCAAACTTGAATAATAAGTATAATAATAAGAAGGAAAGAAGCAACCTAGAACTAAGGAAAAATTTCCTTAATGGACTAGAAGATCTCCAAGGCCCCTTCCAACTCTGTTATTGTTATTCTGTTACTTAAGTAGCTCAAAGCGGAGTGTATATGTGTATTTTCCCTTTTTTGGAAGTATCTGTAGCTCTACAAAACCTGTAAATTGTCCATCTTGAATCTCCAAAGACCAATGAAAGGGTCCTTTTTGTAGACTTCAGCTCGTCATTCAATACAATCATCCAGATAGTCTTCTAGCTAAACGAAATCAGTTAGCCATGTCTGACCACACTTGTAAGTGGATCATACACTTTCTAACAGACATGAAGCAGCAGGTGAAGTTATAGGCAGAATCACATCAGATACCTGCACAATTAGCACAGAGCCCCCCCAGGCTTGTGTTCTCTCTCCACTTCTCTTCTCTCTCTATACCAGGGGTCAGCAACCTGCGGCTCTGGAGCCGCATGTGGCTCTTTCACCTCTCTGCTGCGGCTCCCTGTCACTCAAAATACGCGTCACAACCACCAATGTGCAACACCCACTGGCACGCGATTTATTGAGCTTTTCCACCCCCGGTAGGCCAACCATGGATAAATCCAAGAAAAGAAAAGTTTCAGAAGAAAACAGAACGTTTAATTCAACTACATATGCTAGTTTTGTGGCCGCTCAAGAAATAGTCAGGCACGGGAAGGGTTTTGTGGCTCCCAGTGTTTTCTTTTCTGTGGGAAATGGGTCCAAATGGCTCTTTGAGTGTTTAAGGTTGCAGACCCCTGCCCTATACCAATGACTGCATCTCAAAGGAGCCCTCTGTTAAAGTATTGAAGTTTGCAGATATTACAACAGTGATTGTTCCCATTCGAGACAACGATGACTCAGCATACAGATGGGAGGTTGAAAAACTAGCCTTGTGGTGCAGCTGGAACAGTCTGGAACTGAACACACTTAAAACTGTAGAAATGATAGTAGATTTTAGGAGAAGCCCTCCTATACTACCACCATTCACAATGCTAGAAAACACAGTAGCAACAGTAGAAACTTTTAAGTTTCTAGGTTCTGTAGTATCTCAAGACTTAAAATGGACCCCTAACATCAAATACATCATCTAAAAAGCATAACAAAGAATGTTCTTCCTGTGCCAACTCAGGAAGCTCAAACTGCCCAAGGAGCTGCTGATACAGTTCTACAAAGTTGACTCTGTCATCTGCACTTCTATAATTGTCTGTTTTGGTTCTGCAACCCAACAAGACAGAGACAGACTTCAACCGATAATTAGAACTGCAGAAAAAACAATGGCTACCAACCTGCCTTCTACTGAGGACCTGTATACTGTACGAGTCAAAAAGAGGGCTGTGAAAATATCTACAGACCCCTCACATCCTGGACATAAACTGTTTCAATTTCTACCCTCAAAATGACACTATAGGGCACTGCACATCAGAATAACTAGACACAAGGACAGTGTTTTTCCCCCATGCCATCACTCTGTTAAACAACTAATTCCCACAATACTGTCAAAATATCTAAAAAGGCAGTATTTCCATTATTCTCATCTTCTCTATTACCTATCACTATCTTCTTATGACTATAACTTGTTGCTTCTATCTTCCGATTTAAATTGTTTAATTAGTATCCTAGTATGATTTATGTCGACTGCTTATTTAGTATCCATGACTATCACTAGTATTGTATCTAATGTTTTATGATAAATGTATTTTTACAATTGATCTATCACTATCATTGTACGTATACTGACAGTTTATGCACTGGGGATAAATTCCTTGTGTGTCTAATCACACTTGGCCAATAAAGAATTCCAATTCTAATTCTAATTTATCTCTTAGCAGGAATTTTTTCCCCATATCATCTCCTAGCTCCTGGTTTCAAGTCATAGATTATTTTCTCTTATTTATTTATTTATTTATTTTATTGAATTTGTATACCGCCTTACTCCCGAAGGACTCAGGGCGGTGAACAGCCATGGAATAAAACATATAAATACAAAATTTAAAATAGATTAAAACGCTTCCTTAAAAATGCTTCCTTACATAATTACTAATTTTTGCTTTGTAACTCACATTGGGATTTTGAATATCACAGTGCAATGGTGACAAATGGCAGAGAGGATGTTGCTGAATTTCAGTACAGTAAAAATATCCAACACAATCCAATACCAAACACATTTTCAGCTATTTGTTGAGAAGCATAGATGGAGCAAAACATTAGTATTTTTCTGCCTTGGGTGTGGCAATAAACAATTCAAGGAGTTGGCTCATTACTGCAGCCACATCACTCAACCTATTCATAGGGTTAGAAGAGAACAAGAATAGAATAACAGAGTTGGAAGGGGCCTTAGAGGTCTTCTAGTCCAACTCCCTGATCAAGCAGGGCATCCTATATCGTTCCAGACCAATCTCTCCTTAAAAACCTGCAGTGTTGGAGCACTGAAATATCTGAAAGTGAGCCTTTCCACTGATTAATTGTTCTGTCAGGAAATTTCTCCTTATTTCTAGGTTGGTTCTCTCCTTGATAAATTTCCACCCATTACTTCTTGTCCTGCCTTCTGGTCAGGGGTGAAATGCTACCAGTTCATACCGGTTTTGGGTGAAACAGTAGTGATAAAAACTACTGGTCCGGGAGAACTGGTAGTAGAAGAAAGCTACCGATTCAGTTGAACCGGTAGTTAAAAAAAGTTACTGAGCTACTGGTTTGATTGAACCAGTAGTTTAAAAAGCTACCAGTTCCTCTGAACTGGTATTTCTGATGATCAGCTGTGCGGTGCGGTTTAGCTTTTCTAGAAAGCAGGGAATCATTCGCTGGTGTACCGGCCAGCAAACCGGTAGCAAACCGGTTCAGATTTCACCACTACTTCTGGTGCTTTGGAGAACAGGTTGACCCCATCTTCTTTGTGGCAGCCCCTTAGATCAGAGGTGTCAAACTCACATCATCACGTTGTTGTCATATGATGTATCACAACTTCCATCCCTTCGCTGAACCAGGATTGGGCGTCACCAGTGCATGACACATCTGGCCCGCAGGCCATGAGTTTGACATCCCTTCCTTAGATAGTGGAAACTGTGACAATATTGGTATTATTTATGAGAGAAGAATGACTAAATCCACTGTTCTTTCTTTTGTCCTAATAGGAGTTTCCACTTAAAAAGATTGTTAGAGGATAACAAAGGATAATGATGAATTCCAGTCTGGGAAGTGTGGATGCTACACAGAACTATTATAGGTATAACAATACCAGTGACTCATATAAGTACAAAGAAGAGATCAACCTTTCTCAATTAGGGTGGATTCTTTGGACAAGCATTACTTTAATTACCTGTTGTATTGGGTTTGTGGGCAATGGCTACATCGTCTGGCTACTTGGCTTCCAGATTAACAGAAACTGTTTCACCACATTCATCCTTAATTTAGCCATTGCAGATTTTGGGTACCTTGCATCTGTATTTATATATAGTATCCCTCCATTTACTGATTTTCAAGGAAGCGGTATTTTCTACATCTTCTGGATCTATTTCATCCACATGATGTACATCAGTGCAAACTTTCTTCTGACGGCCATCAGCATCGATCGATGTGTGGTTGTCCTCTTCCCAATCTGGCATCGCTGTTCCCGGCCAAAACATTTGTCCTCGACAGTGTGTATCCTCCTGTGGACCTCTTCTTTCCTCCTGAGTGGAATTATGAGTATTATGAAAATCTTTGGAAATTACAGTCTCCTCAATTTCCATTTCCTTGTGACTGCTGTAGTTTGCCTTCCATTGATCACACTCTCTACCGTGATCCTTTTCATCCAAGTGTGTCTTAAATTGAAACAAAAGAATCAGGGACGGCTTTTACTGATGATTTTAATTACTCTTCTCTGTTTCCTCATCCTTGCTTTTCCATTAAGTGTCTTTGCGGTGATTAGTAGTTTTTCTAGTAGCGAAGCTGATGATCAACTGGAACATTGGGTTATGTGTAGTATATTGTTTTCCTGCCTAAACAGCAGTATTAATCCAGTGATCTACTTTCTAGTTGGGAGAAAAAAAGGAGCTCAGTCCAAGGAGAGCATGAAGGTCATCTTGCAAAAGGTCTTCAAAGAAGGTGAAGCTACTGGAGGGGGATAGAAGAGCTCAAACCCATTTGCAAGACCTCTGTGCTTCCTTCCAAGCAGTAATCAACCATATTGTACTGGGGGCTGTAATCTGATAGGTGGGACCAAATTTCTTTCAACACATTGGCTCTTTCATCTGAATACACATGGAAAGAATTGCATTTTAAGAAATGTGTATATCAATTTTTTTTTTTTGCTTTAATTTATATGCCGCCCTTCTCCGGAGACTCAGGGCGGCTTACAATGCGTTAAGCAATAGCCTTCATACTTTTGTATATTTATACAAAGTCAGCTTATTGCCCCCACAAACTGGCTCCTCATTTTACCTACCTTAGAAAGGATGGAAGGCTGAGTCAACCTTGAGCCTGGTGGGATTTGAACTTGCAGTAATTGCAAGCATCAGATGTTAATAACAGTGCATTAGTCCACTGCGCTACCAAGGCTCTTGGAATCCACATCAATCCACATCTAATGCTGTGCAGGAAATGAACTGCATGGCATTTATAAAATACCCCGCTTATTTTGCTTTCTAGAAATAAGAGTTTTACCAATACAGGGGAAGCTACAACCACACCAGCTGCTTCCGAATGTCACCTAAAGGCAGCTAATTTATGAAAGGAATCAACAATGAGTAAAATTAAAACAGCTAGTTAGAAATGGTCCAAATTCAATGTTAAGACTTTAACCTCTTCCCTAAATGTCAAACAGTAAGAGAGAGAGTTCTCAGGCATATTCCATGCCTTGGGAGCAACAGAAGAGAAAAATAGGCCACAGGTGAAATCTCAAATCCCCTGGTCAGTAAGTAAGAAAGGATGGAAAGATGGTAGTTAAGCAGGGAAGGGTAGGTAGAAAAAGTCCTTAGGAATTCTACAAATCTGCAGGGGAAGATTTCTCTTTTTGGGTCCCTGGTGGCTTCTGGGCTTGATTGCTTGCAGACATTTAGTTCCCTGACTAGGTAATGTCATCAGTGCTAGAAGGGAATGAGGTTTGGCCTTTGTTTATATACAATGGCTTGCCCTGTCAATGTTGGTGGAAATGTTGTTTTTCCCTTGGTCGTCCCTTGATTAGACTCCTATTTACCGTTTGATGGTTTTAGTTCCTTGTAGTTCCTTGATTAGGGTGGTTTTGAAAGATTCACTACAGATCATGGCAAATACAAACATTTACAGTATGGTTTCAAAGAAGGCCTAAATCAGTGATGGCTAACCTTTTTGCCGTCGCGTGCCAAAAGCGGGGGTCACGTGAGGGGGTTGCGCGTGCTCATGCCCAAACCCATAATTCAGTGCCCCCGCCCCCCATGAATGTGCTCATGACCCCCCCCCATGTTCCCCCGCTTTTGGCACGTGATGGCACTGTGGGACCGGTATGCCCATTTCTTGCCCTCCCCAGGCTTCAGAGGCTTTCTTGGAGCCTGGGGAGGGTTAAAACGGCCTTCCCTACCCCCTAAGAGTCCGGAAATAGCCCCTTTCCCAACTTCCGATGGGCCCAGAAGGCCTGAAAATCAGCTGGTCAGCACCCACATGTGCACTGCTAAGGCAACACTTGCATGCCCACAGATATGGCTCCACATGCCACATGTGGCACGCGTGCCATAAGTTTGCCATCACGGGCCTAAATGCTTAAAGGTGCTGCAGATTGGTAGACACAAAAAAAAAGAACAAAGTGAGAAAGCAGAGCCTTTTCTATTTTGTTGTTATTCTATTTTGTTTCCTTTTTCCTTTCCTGCATAAACTGCAAGTAGCAATACAATTAAAAAGTCAGAATAAAGTAGCAAGCTTAAATTAGACCTGTGAAGGCGAAACTATGACACACGTGTCCAAAGTGGCATGCAGAGCCATGTCAGCTGGCATGCACGGCCTTGCCCATTCCTCTTCTGGGTTTCTGGTGTGCATGTGCACATGACGATCAGCTGTCCTTCGTGTGTGTGGCAGTGCCAGAAACTGGAATAGCTGGCAGTAACTGGAGTAGCTTGTGGTTTCCGTTGCGCACATGTGTGCTGGCCAGCTGATCGTCGCGAGGGCATGCGCGCCAGTAACTGGAAGACAAGCTGTCCTATGCACATGAGTGCACTGGAAACCGGAAGTTAATTTCCTGGTGTGTACATGCCCATTGGACATCTTTTCCTCCAGGTTGCATCCCTGACGATGGCGGTGCCGAAAAGGTTTGCCATCACTGAGATAGACCAATGTTTATTTAAGAACTTTTTGATTATTTTGCTATTGTCTATTAATGCCGCCTTTATCTTTCGATGTAAAATGTAAACAACCTTATGCTTATCAGCAAAAACATGGAGTTCATAATCAATATCGATGTAAACTTTTCTCTTTGTTTTTAAATAACCTAGGATCAGGTTATCTAAACAATAAAGTGTTTATAATCTCCAGTCTGTAATGTACAAATCTTACTGTAACTTAAATAAAATATAAGCACACCAGGGAGATATTGTGGGTTTAATTCCAGACCACTACAATAAAGCAAGTGTCACAATAAAATCAAGTCAGACAATTTTGTTTTGTTTCCCAATGCATGTAAAAGGTTTTAGGAATTAGCTTTAAACTGAAATCAAAGAAGTGTCCACCCTCTAGTTTTAGCATAGCATCCATCTTGTGATGATGGAAAAACTTTGATATGTTTAGCAGGTAGTTTTATTTGCCCCATTCCAAAAACAACTATACACACTCTGAGTAAAGTTGAAAATGCAAAAACTCAAACTGTCTGAAAGCCCAATGTATCCTTATATCTCCACTTTGCAAAATAAATCTCAGTCTCAAAACGAAAATTCCCCCAAAGCAAAAATTCAGTTCCCGCTTTATATAATATTCCTCTGTTAATTACACCCCCTGTTGGTGACTACCTGCATCTTCCACCATTCCTGGGAGCCGCCTATTGGAAAGAGAGTGAAGTTCCATGCTGGAAGAAGTCAACTGAGTTTCAGCACTGTGCCTGCCAGAATTAGGAGAGGATTTCACGAGATCCAAAGTCTTCAACTCCTCAAATACATTATTTGGGATTGAAGAACTAATACAGATAGGTTAAACAGATTCTACCCAGATTAGGCAGCTTTGTTTACGATGTCCCACATTTGTCAAACATTGGCGTAGCAGGTAGTAGGAAGCAGATCTTCTGCAGAAATAAAAAATCTTTCTGTTCTGGGATAGGCCAAGTAGATCTTGTTAAAAGTCTCAGACAATGAGATATGTTCTTTGTCTTGCACAATCAATGTGAGAATCAATTGCCAAGACAATCTGGTTCTTGTTTTTGCAAGATAATCACCAACTGCTTACACAAGATAATCACAAACACCGCTTTGGGGGTGGGGGGGCGAAAGCCCTACTAAGCAGGTATATACAAAAGTATGAAGGCTATTGCTTAACGCATTGTAAGCCGCCCTGAGTCTCCGGAAAAGGGCGGCATATAAATCGAACAAACAAACAAACAAACAAACAAACAAACAAACAAACAAACAAACAAATAAATTGTAGAATAAGGAAGTGCCCAGGAATCTTGGCTGTCAATTTCAGTTAAGAAGTTTCGGGGATAAGAAGGAAAATGTTTTCAAAGAAAAAACAAAGAAAGGAAAATCCAGTTGCCCTTTGGAAAAGCACCTTTGGGGCATGACCAGTAAAGCATCTACCAGGGAGAGAGGTTAAGCTTCACTGTCCCCATCCTCATATTTTTAAGAGGGGAAATAAACCTTAAAAAGATGGTGTCAAGACCACTGTGCTTCTTTCTGAGCAACAATGAATAACTTGCACTTGAGGCTGTCAGCTTATAGGTGGGACCAAATCTCTTTCAACGTATTGGCTCTTTCATCTTAATAGACTTTTTAGAGAATTGCATTTTAAGAGATTTCTACATCAGTCCGCAACTAATGCTGTGCAGGAAATGAACTGCATGGCATTTAGAAAATACTCATCTTATTTTGCTTTCTAGAAATAAGAGTTTTACAAATACAGGGGAAGCACCAACAAAGACTGCTGCTTCCACATGTCAACCGAAGGCAATAAATTCATGAAATGAAGCAACAATGAATAAGATAAACATAGAATTAGAAACCAGTTCAAATTCAGTAATTAACAGTGAGGCTTGATCCTCTTACTAAGAAGGGAAAGTGCAAGAGAGACAGTTTTCAAGCATATTCCATGCCTTGGGAGCAACAGAAGAGCCAAAATCTGAAACCACCAGGTTAGTAAGAAAGGATGGAAAGATGGTAGTTAGGCAGGGAAGCAGCTACAGGTGGGTACAAAAAGTCATTTGGAATTCTACAAACCTGCAAGGAAAGACTTGTCTCTGAAGTCCTTGAAGCATGATTGCTCAGAGCAAAATATTTCAAACCCCCCTCCCCCAAAACTGAAGAAAGTCCAGTAGCCTTTTTGAAAAGCACCTTTGAGTGATGTTCAGAAAGACATCCTCAACCGAGGATGTTAAGCTTCATTATCCCCATCCTCATATTTCTAATAACTAAAGAGGAGAAATAAACTTTAAAGAGAAGGTAGTATCAAATCAAAAGAACAGACTGCACACTTGAAGGATTGTGATCAGCTCTTCCTCAGTGGTCAAAGTCCCATTTATCAGCTGAAAAATCAAACTGTCAGGGAAGTTTTGTTCTTTCATCTTCTCATGTCAAGCAGCAAACAGTCTACTTAATCAGAGCATCTTAAAAGAAATATAATCTGGAGAACAGCTTCCCCTGTTCCCAGAAAGCATTGTTTATAAGGAGATGCTACATTTCTTCAGAATTTAACTCTGTCTGCCTTGGCTTTGATTCCCTTGCCCTAGCAGGCTCAAGCCAACTGTCTCTCTTCAACACTGACTGTTGGTGATTATTTTAGACAGACAAGAGTCACATCTTGTATCATGTGATGGTAGATTCTTATCAGACAGGACACAGAGTACATATAGATCTTTTAGAGTATTTTTCTCATGCCAGAAGGCACAGCTCTCCGTCTTTTCTGCAGGAGATCAATTCTCACCTGCTATGCTGGCACTCAACCCTATGCTTTATATAAAAAC